CGAAGAGGAGATACAGAGAGAAAGATCTTGCATCCACTGGTTCATGTCCCAGTGGCCACAATGGCTGTAGTTGAGCTGATCCAAAGCCAGGAGGCAGGAGCTTCCTCTAGGTCTCCCACACGGGTGCAGGGTCTCAAGGCTTTGGACCATCCTCTGCTGCTTTTCCAGGCCACACTCAGGGAGCTGGATGGGAAGTGGAGCAGCCGGGATATGAACCATAGCCCATATGGGATCCTGGTACATGCAAGGCTAGGACTTCAGCCACTAGAGTAGCGTGCTGGGCCCTCATGTGGTTATTTTAAAAGCTATCTTTTAGGGGTGGGCTTTGGCACAGCAGGTATGACTCCTCTTGTGATGGCGGCATCCCATATCAGAGTGCCTGAGTTCAAGTCCCAGCTCTGCTTCTAATTCCAGCTTCCTCCTAGTGTGCATCCTGGGGGCAGTGGGTGATGGCTCAGGTACTCGGGTCCCACAAGGGAGACCCAGATGGAGTTCTTAACTTCTAACTTTGGCCTGGCCAGGCCCTGGCTGTTCTAGGCATTTGAGGCATGAACCAACAGTTGGAAAATTTCTGGCTTTGTCTCTTTTGTTGTATCTCTGTCTTTGAAATAAAATGAAAATATTTTTTAAAAATTGTGGCTAGTACTGTGCAGATGAAGCTGTGTCCTGTAGCACTAGCATCCCAGATGGGAGGCAGTTCACACCCCAGCTGCTCCACTTCTCATCCAGCTCCTCACTGATCTGCCTGGGAAAGCAGCAGAAGATGATTCAAGTGCTTGGGCTCCTGCCACCCAATGTGTTAGACCCGGATGAAGCTCCTGGCTGTGGCCCACCCAGGCCTAGCAGTTGCAGCCATTTTGGGGGAATAAACCAGCAGACAGAAGATTCTCTCTTGACCTTTCTCTCTGCCTCTTTGTCTGTCTCTATAACTCTGCCTTTTATGTAAATAATATTTAACAAAATTAAAAAAAAATAAAGATATGAAGTATTCATGGATTTGTGGCATAGCCACATTGGCAACAATTTGAGTCCTGGCTGCTCCATTTCCAGTTAGCTCCCAGCTTATGGCCTGGGAAAGCAATGGAAGATAGTCTAAGTGCGTGGGCCATTGCACCCATGTGGGAGACCCACAGGAAGCTCCTGACTTCTGCCTGGTTGAGCCCTGATCATTGTGGGCATTTGGAGAGTGAGCCAGTCAGTGGAAGATCTCTCTGTTTCTTTCTCTCTTTTTCTGTAATTCTGCCTTTCAAATAAAATCAAATAAATAAAAACTTATGGTCAAAAGTGGGCTGCATGGTGGCATTGCGTACTAATCCTCTGCCTACAGCACTGGCATCTCATATAGGTGCCGGTTCGTGTCTTGGCTGCTCCACTTCCCATCCAGCTCTGTGTTTGTGGCCTGGGAAAGCAGCAGAGGGTAACCCAAAGCCTTGGGCTCTTGTACTCATGTGGGAGACCCAGAAGAAGCTGCTGACTGCTGGCTGTTGGCTTCGAATTGGCTCAGCTTTGGCTATTGCAGCCATTTGGGGAGAGAGTCAGTGGCTGGGGATCTCTCTCCCACTCGTTCTCTCTCCTTCCTTTCTCTGTAGATTTGCCTTTCAAATAAATAAACAAATCTATATTTTAAAAAATCATGCTAAAATGGAATTAAAAGATAAGGTTATATAGAAAAGTTCTCCAAGTAAGATCAGATTTTATTTTGAGACTTTTTTTTTGTGTGGGTAGGTGAGGGTATCATTTCCTTTAGCACTAATCAATTCAAAATTATGCTTGGCTAGGAAACAAGGCTTTTGCCTGACTACCATCCAGCCCCTGGAGTTTGTGCCAGTGCTACTGGTGGCAAAGCAAGTTTGTCCCAATTCATCACCCTTGAAGTTTTACCCTGACCATTTTCTGAACCCTTTTAGGTCAACATTATAAACCAGTTTATTTAACAGTGTGTCTTATGTGATATGTGGCATTTTATTTATCTCAGTATGATAAAACTGGACCTCAGGACAATTAGGTGACTAGTTAAGAGTTGTAGAGTGAGCAGCTGATGCAGAATATGGATCCAGGTCCCCCTAATGCCAATTCCAAGAGAAATGTGTAGGTGAGTCCAAACGTGCAGTCAGGTTTAAGAACTACTGGCATGGGCCCGGCGCAATAGTGTAGTGGTTAAAATCCTTGCTGTGCATGCACTGGGATCCCATCTGGGCGCCGGTTCTAATCCCAGCAGACTTGCTTCCCATCCAGCTCTCTGCTTGTGGCCAGGGAAAGCAGTTGAGGACGGCCCAAAGCTTTGGGATCCTGCACCTGCGTGGGAGACCTGGAAGAAGCTCCTGGCTCCTGGCTTTGGATTGGCTCAGCTCCAGCCATTGCGGCTGCTTGGGGAGTGAATCATCAGACGGAAGATCTTCCTGTCTCTCCTCCTCTCTGTATATCCACCTTTCCAATTAAAAAATAATAAAAAAGACCTACTGGCATGTAGAAGAGGTTCTCCACTGGTAGTGCTTCCTGGGGACATTTAGCAAAGTCTGGAAATATTTCTAGCTTTCGTAACTGAGGGTGGGGTTGGGATGGTGCTGAACAGCCTTTCATGGCTCCCACACTAAGAATTAATCAGATCAGCCTCATGTGTTGGTGGAGCAGCTGTCAGACTTTGTTGTTGTCTTAGAGGGCCAGTGTTTTAGTTTTGAAATTATTCATCCAGGCACCTGATATTTGCTGTGTACTATGCCGGATAGCGTGAGGCGTATGAGAAGCAGTGGCTGGTGTGTGCTCCTCAGGAGGTTACGGTGTAGACAGGAGAGGCATTCCAGCAGCTTCAATGCAAAGCAGAGTTTAAGTGCAAAAAAGAGTTATATGAAGTGTGAGCACACCCATGAGATGGAGGGCTCACTTCTGGTTGTGGGAGGAAACAGTTTTGGGTTGGGTGTGTGAACGAAGCCGCACAGCGGGGAAGCAGGACCTGCACAGGGCACAGCAAGCTGTCTACTTTTGGGTAGTGCACGGTATTCATTCCTGGGTTGGGGGCTAGAGCTTGCCTCCAGGCTAAGGACTCTGTCATTGCCATGGAAAAGCTTTTCCTTCCAGAATGGTGATCAGGCCCTGGGGAAATGGGATTCAGTGGCTTCCAGAAGACTTTCTTTGCTGTAAACATAGCTTTTGTTTTTCCATAAGAATTTTCCATGAACCTTTTAAGGGCCCCTTTTATTTTACCGCAAGGTAGTCCTTGGGAGAACGTGATCTCACACTGAAGTATACCTGGACGAGAGCTGGATTCCATGTGGTGGTTCTGTGAAGGGCTGGGCCACTCTGGCTGTGCTGAATACCAGGGCTGACTTGGGACTCATAACCCAAGGTCTGCCCCCAGCTGTGTGAGCTGTGGAACAGGGCTTGGTACAGAACACTTCAGCACAGCCTAGCACTAGATAAGACTTTTTCAGTGTGCTATATTTCCTTTAAATAGTCTGAAAGACGGTCTTGGCAAGTCTTATGTATTATTCGGGATGCAAATGAGGACTGCCTTGTTTTCTTTCTTTCTTTTTTAAGGTTTATTTATATTTATTGGAAAGTCGGATTCACACAGAGCAGGAGAAGCACAGAGAAAAGATGCTCCATCTCCTGGTTCAGTCCCCAAGTGGCGGCAATGATGGGAACTGAGCTAATCTGAAGCCACGAGCCAGAAGCTTTTCCTGGGTCTCCCACATGGGTGTAAGGTCTCAAGACTTTGGGCCATCCTCAACTGCTTTCCCGGGTCACAAGCAGGGAGCTGGATGGGGAGTGGACAGCTGGGACACAAACTGGCACCCATATTGGATCCCAGCACATTGAAGGCAAGGATTTAACCACTATGCTACTGAGCTGGGCCCAAGACTGTCTGGTTTTCTAAGAATGTGCAAGCATGGGCCTGGCTCAGTAGCTTAGTGGCTAAAGTTCTTGCCTTGCACATGCCTGGATCCTATGTGGGTGTCAGTTTGTGTCCGGGCTGCTCCACTTCCCATCCAGCTCCCTGCTTGTGGTCTGGGAAAGCAGTGAAGGATGACCCAAAGCCTTGAGACCCTGCACCCACATTGGGAGACCTGGAGGAAGCTTCTGGCTCCTGCCTTCACATCAACTCAACTACAGCCATTGAAGCTACTTGGGGAGTGAACCAGTGGATGGAAGATCTTTCTCTATGTCTCTCCTTTCTGTAAGACTGACTTTCCAATAAAAAATAATAAATAAATAAATAAATAAATCTTGGGCTCGGCAGCATGGCCTAGTGGCTAAAGTCCTCACTTTGAACACGCCGGGATCCCATATGGGTGCCGGTTCTAATCCTGGCAGCTCCACTTCCCATCCAGTATCCTGCTTGTGGCCTGGGAAAGCAGTGGAGGACGGCCCAAAGCTTTGGGATCCTGCACCCATGTGAGAGATCTGGAGGAGGTTTCTGGCTCCTGGCTCCGGATCAGCACAGTACCGGCCGTTGCGCTCACTTGGGGAGTGAATCAGCGGACGGATCTTCCTTTCTGTCTTTCCTCCTCTCTGTATGTCTGACTTTATAATAAAAGTAAATAAATCTTTATAAAAAATAATAAATAAATAAATCTCAAAAAAGAAAAGAATGCAATCCCCATCAAACCCCTCTACCACCGGTCACCACTTTTGTCCCTGGTTATTCTGTATTCTTTTTGAAAAAAGTTGTGGAAGGAAGTAAGATTGTGTTTCTTTATTGAATGTGTGTGTGAGTGTGCAGCTTGATGTGGTGTGTGAGAACCTGTGTGTGTATATTTCGCCAGCTACCACTGCAGACACGTTAACATACAGTACCCCATATCCCATTTGATTGGCACAGTGCCCTTCAGCTGGAAGTACAGTTTTTTCCTTTTAGTAAATGAGGAAACACACTAAGAAAGGCTAACGTGCCCCAAACCCCTGTAGTTAAATAACAAGGGCTGCATTTTTGTGCATGTGAGGGTTGATTTGCCACATTTTCTCCCAGTTTCTTCCCCTTATAGAAAGTTAGTTGAGTTTACCTGAATTTGGGCTGCTGAAGACGGCGGGCATCAGCGTCAGTGACAGCAGCAGGAGGAGGGAAGAGATTAGAGCTCTTGTTGGGACCATGGCTGTGCTGCAGGCTGCTCCGGTCACACTGCTGCCTTGCTGCAGTAGCTCAGGCTGGTCCTCAGGCCAGCCGACTGTGCTTTAATCCCAGAGTGAGAACAGGGAACCACACTGGCCTTGAGGTTGGGTCACATTTGTTTTACAGGAATCTGGGAGGTGAAACTGTTCAAATAAAAGAAATGCAATCTGAGAACATAAGGAGGTGGCTGGTAACTTGGCAGCAGCACTATTCCCATATTCCTTTTCACTTCCCCACCCTGGCACTTGTGGTTTCCTCCTTAAGTCTTTTTCTTGTTTGGATTATTTCTACCCCTTAGCAGTTCTCTGTAGTTGAGTGTCTGGCAGGAGATGTATACTCAGGGTTGGCAGAATAGAGAATGGCATGGCCTGCTTACCCACTGTCTTCTCCATCCCCAACTACATAGGGTCATTGCCCTGTGCTCCCTGTTCTCAGTTCCCTTCAACCCTGCAGTCGTGTAAGGAGGCAACAGAGCCATGGCCAAGGAGTGAAAGGTTTCTTCCCTTCGTCCTGAGTGGTGGACAAAACCCAGCCTCCTCACCGTTCATCGGGAAGTTACTGCAGCTTACTCACCGCAGTCAAAAGGAGAGAGAGCTGGGTTGGAGGGAGGCATTGAGGGCTTCCATTCTGAGAGGGTTTGAGAAACAGGCAGCCACAGGAGGGAAGGAGACCTTCAAGTGTGTTTGCTCAGCCTATCAGGGCTGCTGGCAGCAAATCTTGTTTGGGAGTGGCCATGGCAAAGGAAGAAAGGTAATGATACTTAGAGTAAACATTAACGGTCATGGCACATCAGTACTGCCTAAACTTGATTTTTTTTTCTGGAAATGCTAGAAATCTGGTAAATAAAGAGGAGAGGCTGAATTTGGGTGCTTGGCGATATTTCAGGGTGAAGGGCAGTGTTGACAAGGGTGTCCTTCCTGGAAGCTTCCAGGTGGAATGGAGAAAAATGTGGTGTGACTTTGTTTCCCCAAGAAGAAAGAAGAGGCAAGGCCTGAATTAAACCCATTTTCATAGTTATTTGGTCTTTCCCATTCTGTTAACAGTTGGGCAGTTGGGCTAGACGGTGGAGGCTGTTCTTTAACTGGAACTTAGGTTTGCTCAGATAGAAGCCACCAATGTGTTGTTATGAAGCTCAGGTCTTGCCAGGGAGATGACATGCACATCATAAAACCAGAGCATTAAGTTTGGAATATATGGCAAGAGTTTACTGAGGATTGAGAGGAACCCAGAGCCAGGTAGAAGCTGAGCTAGGTATTGTGGGGTGGGCTAGAGTTGGGGTTCAGTGGTCAGAGAAGGGGAAGTACACAGTATGAGTGCATTGCAATAGAAGTGCTCTTTGCAGTTAGCCTGATGGGGTTTTTTTTAACTTAAGGGGCAGAAAGACAAACAGGTTCGTAGAGAGCTCTCATGTGCCAGCTCACTCCCCAAGTACAAACACTGGCTAGCACTGGGCTCGGGGTGAAGCTCAGAGCTGGGAATCCAAACTAGGTGGTGTATGTGGATGGCAAGGACTCAGTTCCTTGAACGGTCACTGCTGCCTCCCAGGGTCTGCATTGGCAGAAGCTCGAACTTGGGGCAAAGCCAGGAATCAAGCCCACACCCTCCAATATGAGATTTGGACACCCTGACTGGCATCTTAGCCACTAGGCTAAATGCTTGCCCTGAATGGGGACTTTAAGGGTCAGGGGCTATTTACTGTTTATTATATTTATTGGAAAATCAGATTTATAGAGAGAAGGAGAAGCAGAAAGATCTTCCATCTGTTGGTTCACTCCCCAAGTGGCTGTAATGGCCAGAGCTGAGGCAATCTGAAGCCAGGAGCCAGGAGCTTCTTCCAGGCCTCCCATTGTGGGTACAGGGTCCCAAGTCTTTGGGCCATCCTCTACTGCTTTCCCAGGCCACACACAGGGAGCTGGAAGGGAAGTGGGGCAGCTGGGACATTAATCATCACCCATTTGGGATCCTGGTACATGTAAGGTGAGGACTTTAGCCACTAGGCTACCCCACTGTTTATTTTTTGTTCTTTGGATAGATGTTGGACTGAGAATACTCTATAAATGCTTATTGAATTGAATTAAAAACGGATTTTTTTTTGTTGGAAATTCAAATCAGATTTATGGAGAGAAGGGGAGACAGAGAGGAAGATCTTCTGTCTGCTGGTTCACTCTCCATATGGCTTTAAGGACTGTAGCTGAGTCAGTCCAAAGCCAGGAAGCAGGAGCTTTTTCTAGGTTTTCCACACAGGTGCAGGGGCCCAAAGCTTTGGGCCGTCCTCTGCTGCTTTCCCAGGCCACAAGCAGGGAGCTGGATGGGAAATGGAGCAGCTGGGACATGAACCCATGTGCTTGCAAGGTGAGGATTTAACCTATGAGCCATTGTGCTGAATCTGCTGGTTTACTGCCCGAATGGCCTCAAAAGTCTGGCTAGGCCAGGCTGAAGCCCAGATTCATGCAGATTTCCATTGTACGTGACAGGAGTTGAAGTACTTGGGCCATTATCCACTGCTTTGTTAGGTCCATTGACAGGCAATTGGATTGGCAGTGAAACAGTCAAGACTCAAACTGGCAGCTATATGGGATGCTGGCATCACAGGCAGTGGCTTAGTCTATTTTGCCTCAGCCTCTGGCTCCTTATTGAATAGATTTTTTTAATGGTTTTTACTGGAAAGGCAGATACACAGAGAGGACAGGCAGAGAGAAAGATCTTTCATCCTCTGATTCACCACCAAGTGACTGCAATGGCTGGAGTTGAGCTAGTCTGAAGTGAGGAACTTCTTCTGGGTCTCCCATGTGGGTACAGAGTCCCAAGGCTTATGGGCCGTCCTCTACTGCTTTCCCAGGCCACAAGCAGGGAACTGGGTGGCAAGTGGACCAGCCAGGATATGAACTGGTGCCCATATGGAAATCTGGCGGATGCAACGTGAGGACTTTAGCCACTAGGTTGTCGCACTAGGCCCTATTAAATAGTTTTACAACCCCTTAATGACCTAATATATTAAGCCGCCGCCTGTGATGTCAGAATCCCATATCAGTGCTGGTTCAAGTCCTGGCTGTTTGACTTCCCATTCAGCTCCCTGCTCATGAGCCTGGGAAAGCAGTGGAAGATGGCCCAAGTATTTAGGCCCCTGCACTGAAGTGGGAGACTGAGATAAAGTTCCTAGCTCTTGGCTTTGGATTGGCTAAGCTCTGGCCATTTGGAGAGTAATCCAATGGTTAGAAGATCCTCTTGTTCTTATCTTCAAAATAGACCTTTAAAAAGGCATGGGAAGATTGAGCAGTACAATAGGAAGAAGCAGTGTCCCCAGATGAGCTGATGGGGTATTTGGCTTTTTAAAGATTTATTTATTTTTGTTGGAAAGTCAGATTTACAGAGAGTATGAGAGACAGAGAGGAAGATCTTCTATCCGCTGATTCACTCCCCAAGCAGCCATAACAGCTGAAGTTGAGCCGATCCTAAGCCAGGAACCAGGAGCTTCTTCCAGGTCTCCCACGCAGGTGCAGGAACCCAAGGCTTTGGGCCGTCCTCGACTGCTTTCCCTGGCCATGAGCAGGGAGCTGGATGGGAATATAGCTGCTGGGTACAAGAAATAGTACCCATGTGGGATCCCAGAGCTTGCGGGTAGAGGATTAGCCAGTAGAGCTTTTGTGTTGGACTCAGTATTTGGCTTTCTAAACGGGTGTTGACAGTACCAGAATGGGAAAACAGCCTTGTCGCTCCGTTGGAACACTGTTGGAGTTGGTGTTTCCTCTGTGGTTGCATCACTTAATTTGCCTCTGAAAGTGACAGAAGAGTATAGTGGGCTTTATATTATGTCATTTAAAACTGAAAGGCAAAGTTACAGATAGAGGCAGAATCTTTGATCCACTGGCTCGCTCCCCAGAGGCTGCAGTGATTGGAGTGCTGGTCTGAAGTTGGGACCTAGAAGCTTCTTCCATGTCTCCCATTTGGACGCAGAGACCAAGGACTTGGGCCGCCTACCTTTGTTTTCCCAGGTGCATTGTCAGTGAGTGGGGTCAAAAACAGAGCAGCCGGGGCACTTGAGGTGCCAGTGCCACAGGTGGTGGCTTTATCCATTCTGCCAGTGCCTCGCCCCAATTCTGTTGTTTGGGAAACTGCATGTGGTGGAGGGCAGTGCGTGGTGACTGTTTACAGTATTTGAAGTTTTAACAAAAGGCGTAGTATTGATTTGGGACCTCTAGAGAGGCGGGTTGGTATCAGACACCTTGCAGCTGAGGATGGGGAGGAACGATCGTAGTAAAGTGAGTTTCCTTCGAAAATTAAAAGTTTACTGGAAGGGCTCGGCGCAATAGCACAATGGTTAAGGTCCTCCCCTTGAATGTGCCAGGATCCCATATGGACGCTGGTTCTAATCCTGGCAGCTCCACTTCCCATCCAGCTCCCTGCTTGTGACCTGGGAAAGCAGTCGAGGATGGCCCAAAGCCTTGGGCCCCTGCACCTGTGTGGGAGACCCGGAAAGAAGTTCCTGGCTCCTGGCTTCAGATTGGTGCAGCACCGGCCATTGCGGTACTTACGGAATGAATCATCGGACGGAAGATCTTCCTCTTTGTCTCTCCTCCTCTCTGTATATCTGCCTTTCCAATAAAATAAATAAATCTTAAAAAAAATTACTGGCAGAGTTCAGGTTCAGGCAGGGTCTGGATGTTTGAAAATACCTGTTCCAGTGATTTTTAAGTTTGCATATTTTCTATTGATGTCACCTGTTACTTAAAAAGATGTTATTAAAAACTGCTCTTTAAAATGTGACATTGCTCCATTGTGTGCTGACTCTGTGTGGCAGTCTCTTCCAGACACTTTGGGCAGCTGTGATTGTTTGGTGTGATCTGTGATTGGGGTTTCTCCCGACCACCCCCAGCCCTCACAGCTGAGTTCACTGTGTTTCCTAACCATGGCACAAGGTGGCAGCAAAGCCTCGCCGGTGTATGCTAAATGCACCAGCCTTGGGTGGGCAGGGCCAGGTGGCTGTCAGATCAGGAAAAGGATGGAAGGAGATCAGGGAAACTCTCGCCCCCTCACTCCCACCCTCCCTTATTGTGGAGGGACAGAACTGAGGCAAGTGTGGAATAACTTCGTTTTAGAACAGGCAGACACTTCACGGAA